TGTAATTTTATTTGCTCACTATATTCGGACATTCGAGGCAATGTGAAATTACAGGTACTGCTGATAATAGATACTACAAAACTAAAAAAATCCGAAACGTTACTAAACGTTATAACAAAAGAGTTATAGAATATTTTTATAATATTGCTAAGGTCATAATAATTTCCGTACCTTTGTTTTCAAAATCGATCAGAATCGAGAACAGTGTTGCCTAACGTATACATCACTAAATGTTAAATTTGGCCAAAGAAATGTACAAGCGGTCGTACCACGAAACTGAATGCACTATACAAAAGTGCGTTCGTTTGATATTCATGGGGTATTATTAACATAGGATCACAAATATATCGTACCAAGTAAAAGCGACAATGTATTACAAATCATGAGACATGCACTCGGTTGCATATTTGTTTTCTCGAAATTCATACAAAACCAAAATAATTGTTTTTAAAATAAATTATGCATCTTCTGATTACAAAATCACTTTCCCGTGGAAGGAAACGTCCCTGTTTACCCGTTTAACCACAGTTATGGTGCTTTTGCAGTTTACAATGGCACAATTATGCATTTTTCGCGTTTTCGTATGGTGTTTATCTACGATAACGGTCGGGCTCGTTCTGAAGTGTAGCAGCGGCAAGTAAGTGAATTTCACTTACTTTGGGCACGCGAAGCACGTACACTTGCGGCGTTTATCTAGATACATGTCTGTGCGCCCGTCCGACTCCGTCTCCATTCAAGAACCTTTCTGCGCCAACGGCCGTCAGTTCTACGAGCTCTGTGCCCTGCTCACTTTCGTTCTTCTACGGATCTAATTATTTCTGATTCGATCAGGTAGAGAAATACCGAGCATTGCTCGCTCTATAGCTCCTTGAGTGTCTTTGACCTTTTTCATGAGGCCCATACTGAATATCATAGTAGTTAAATATCATTAATTACAATCAATATTAGTATAAGACATGTGATAACTCTTAAATTATACACATATTTTATAAGTATTAGTCGAATATATCGGTGCAAAAATAACCACCCTAATAGTCGTGAATAAAAGAGAATTGATTTTCGTCACACCTACGGGGAGTCAATTTCGAGATCGCTCGATATTGCCGCTAGTCGATCACAAGGGAAATCATTCGTATGCAAATTTAAATTTGGATTGGACGTGACGAACTTCGGTAAATGTATCCAATATATACATACATACTGATTGTATCAGATATATTATTTCTAACAAAATTTATATAGCAATTTATACGTAGTCATGCAAAGGGGAATGGTACCAGCCTCCTTAGCACGATGCCATTGGTGAATTTCTCTACCTTTGACTGGATGAAGAAGCCGTGGTAGCCTAATATTATGACCTACCGCCTCTCAAGCACAGGACGTGAGGTCGAATTTGAGGTGAAGAAAGCTATCGCGATGAAAACTGCGTGTCGAAGATGGTGCACAACTCTCAGTAAACGTATAAAGTTCCCAACCCATTGGGCCAGCGTGGCGGACTATGGCCTAAACCCTCGTGAGAGGAGACCCGTGTCGACGAGCTCATTGAATCAAAAACAAATTTTTGTTTGTGTGATACCAACTAACGTCCAGGGAATTGCTGTTACCTTTCTGACGCCAAGAAGTAATGTGGGTATTATGGTATGGTGTAATGGGCTGTTGTCCGCATCCCGACGTCCAGACACCCATTTTGCGTGTGATGGGTGCATGGTCTTATTCGTGCCACCCAATCTTCTCCAGGAATCTGAGCAGCCTCCTAGTTTGCTGAAGACTTCGGGGAGCTACCTCGGCACTCCAAGGTACTTTGCCCTGTAGTCGGCCACGCCGCCGGAACATTGTAGTATGTGTAGCATATCCTATGCTGGCCGTAATACCTAGATTGCAAATGTGTTTTTTTTTATGGACCATGACCCGTTAGAGCGGCTATATAATGAGTAGCTCTTTTCTTTTTCCTTTTAAAGTGGATATTACTGCGTTTCGGTTTTGAATGTTAAGGGAACGGTAAAACTACAGGCACTTATGGCTCGTGTTTATCTCGTCGGCGACGGCAGTGGCACTGGTACGGTAAGACATTTCACTGCTTTTAAAAAATAGTGTGCAGAATGGTCTAAATTATATTGAACATGAGCCTGTATACAATTTGTCTGCTTTTCATTTTAGATATTCTGCAGTTGTTTTTAAACCATCTTGCTGACGATTTAGGATATTTTGAGATAGGCCACTATTCCTGAAAGCCTTCGATTTCTCATAGCAACAGGCCCATATTGATCATGCTTGATCATAGCCTTATTTGATATCATAAAAAAAAAATAATTAAAATGGTAGAATCTTCTCTACGCTAAAAGCTGTCTGTTGATTTTTTATGATACCAAGTGGTAAGCGACGCGCGTCTCTATGAATTGCAGTGCGAGAGCTTTGCCCATGACTGTAATATCACCCTTATCCTTCAAAACTGGAACGCAGTCATGCTCACATTATTCTTTGGCGGCAGAAATAGGTGAGGTGGCAGTACTTCCTGGACGAACTCTTTCTCAAGGAGCTCCACTGCTACTTAATCTGTTATTGTTATGTTTATAACATCAGAATGTGAAACAATTACTTTTTATTATCACAACTATTCAAATATGCTTGTAGAATTATTATTCTAAACGTATATAGCATTTGTATTTACGCAACAACATTCCGAAATTATGTAAATTAATTGATAGTATAAAGAAAACATTAAACAAAAGATAACAAATCAAGACGCGTTCAGTAGAATAATTAAAACTTAATTTTTCATAAAATTAACAATTCGAAGCAATTACGACTTGGAATTAAAGTTTTATTTAATGTAATTCAAATTAAAAAGCCGCAAGTTTAATTAAGAAATTAAGATAAAGGTCGACACATACAATCCGGTTCGTAATCTATCCCGGAAGCCGCTCGGGAGCTAACCGGGAGTGAGCTAAACCAAAATGTGTGACTGAGACGTTTCGTTTGCTTCGAGAACGTTGCCACTACTATTGGTTAAAAAAAGTTTAGAATTGAAAAAATCATGAAGATTATAAACTTACGTCTTATTATTTCCCATAAATATTAGACAACAGCATATACGTTGCTCCCAAAGTATGTAACTAAAGCATTTCGATGGTGGAAATTTGAAATGTCGTGTGGATGGACATTTTTCCTTACGACAAAATTTCCCTTTTAACATAATGTCTCTTATGACATTTCAACATTGCACCGTCTATATAAAGGCAATAATTTTGTAAATTACACACCCGCCTCGAGACAGGCGCCGCCGCGTACGGCCACTGTGAACGCAAAAGCGTCTACGTACATTTAGACGCACCCGCGCCCGCACCCGCGCCCGTACCCGTACCGCACCAGCGCCCGCACCCGTGCCCGCACCCGCGCCCGCACCCGCGCCCGCACCCGCGTCCGCACCCGCGTCCGCCACCACTCTGAATAAGGCCTATGGAGTTACCATACTTATTTCATTACACCATGTTTGTACTCCGCATCTGCTATTAACGACTTGTTCATCCCGTTACGTGGTATGATAAAAAAAACTATTAGAGCTTAATACCTGCATGATTTTCTAGCTTAAAACTATTGTTTCTTTGTCAACTTCCTATCGACATTAATACACGAAAAACGGCGCAAATGGTAAAGGCAACAAACACAAAACGGGGCGATATACATAAATTCCAATTAAGTGACGTGTCACGGCGCGATCAGGGGCTTTATCGCGTCTTAGAATACATTATCACAGTTTATTGTTTAACTTATTTTTTATGACGTCTGTGGGCGCTTTGTCGAACCGAAAACAAGTAGGCGAAACGAAAACGCCGGTTTAGGGCACTGTAGACAATGGGTGTGAATTCACACCTACGTTTAGGGAAACTTGTAAGTTACATTCGTCTAAAAGCTACTGCAAAATTTATAATTGATGTCCGGTGTGGGTGGTATTTATCACAAACAGTTGTTTATTTTTTTCATTTGTTTGTTCATACCTATCAGGTATAGGTGATCGTAAATCTGAAAAGATGCAGTAGAGTTCCTTGTGAAAGAGTTTGTATAGGAAAGTACTGCCATCTTACCTATTTCTACCGTCAAGCAGTAATGCGAAGGTGTTCCGTATTGGAAGGGTAAGGGTGCTAGTGCTAGCGAAAGGGCGCACGACTTGTTCGTCCTCACTTGGTATTACCAAAACATGGTGGCACTTGAATTTGCAACCGAAACTTAATGCCCCCGTGCATTACTAGTGACCGCTGGCTAACTTATTAAGTAGGTACTTTATCTACTAATTGTAAGGCACTTTTGGCCTGACTTTAGACGTACTGTAAATGCATCTAGTTGGAAATTTTTCGAAGAGATTTAATACAATTATTATCTGTATTTTCTCGTCTTTACTTTACCTCCACTGCGGCCACCTCATATAATTTATACTTATACGGGTAAAAGAGTTATTTAAGTTAGTTGTTTTAGTTTCTTATATCAAATAGCACCGTGAGGAGTGGAGGAGGCTACACCGACAAGAGCATGGCTCTTAAATAAAATGAATGAATGAATCAAATAGCAATGGTTATATTCTAACATTTGTTAAAAGTTTTCTATACAATTTTCGACCTCTTTTACCGCAAAAGAATGCTAAAGTTTATTAGGGCAGAGCTATAAATTTGCAACTTGTTTCTTCTAAAAATAACATTTTTTTCGAGATATCGTGGACTTATGTCCGAGGTCTAGTGTTATTAAGCAATAAGACAATTTTAGTCATGTTCAGTTCAGTGCAATACAATGCGCGTTCGGAAGCGGATGCTCTACTACGCAGTGAGTTAATTATAAATTATAATTCGCGTCTCACACGGCACTGGCCTGGGATGTGTTCCTAGCAACTCATTGACAATGAGCTCCAGGCGTTTAATCAACACGCCATCGACACCATGGATGAAGTCAGCATTGTGCAGATTTGCAAATCGAATTTCAATGAGGATGAGATTTGCAATGTGCTATGTAGGCGAGTGAAACGACCGCTTGCTCGTAACGCACTGGTTTATTCGCTGTTTGTTTAAGCGGTGGACGCAGCCACACGATGCATGCATATTTACATATATAACATATTCTCCCTCTAGTGACAACTACAATGATACTTAATTCTAATAAAAAGGCGAATCTAGAAATATTTCTTGTAATTAATGGTGGGACGCTTGCGTAACAATCTCATCGGTTCATCGACCGGTGAACTGCGTGAAGTCTCTGTTTGGCCTATTGATTCATTATCTGCATCCTGGTACTCAGCGTGGGAATCAAGGTGCCCCTGTTCAGCTGCGTCTTTTTCGTCGACGCTCCTCCGTGTTGGATGCATAGTATTCTCGCTCCCGTCTAATGTCATTAGCGTAGAAGTATGAGGCTCATACATCTCGGCTCTTCTCCCTCTGGTCGAACCGTGTCGGTCAATTAATGGTGTTGAGTGAAATTGTGGCGAGACTTGCAACAATGAATGCGGCGACGACGGAGTGGGCGGCGATTGTAGCGGCGATTGTGGCCGCGACTGTGGCGGCGTAATACTCGACTCCGGTAAGTACATGCTTCTTTTCTCATAGTGTAGTGGATTGTTACTTGTCCCTTTGTATAACACTACTTGATTTTTGTGTCTTTTGACACACTCTAAATTAATATAGTCTTTTATTAAATACATCACTGTTCCCAATCTCTTAATAATAATACCTTTTACCCATTTGTAATTGTTTTTGTTTACAAATTTTTTATACAATACAATATTGTCTTTTTCAAAATATTTTGTTTTATTTTTTCGTACAGAGTTATTGTGCGTATACTGTTTATTTTTCACATTACCGGTTACGGAGGGTGACAAAAATGACGATGACTTGGGGTTAATCAAGTCTAGCCGCGTCCTAAGTTTACGACCGAAAACCATTTGTGCTGGTGAATACCGTGTCGTACTATGAATGGAATTACGATAATCCATGAGGTATTTAAGCAATTTTAACTTTGTTTCTTTTGCTGTTCGACACGATAGAAGGCACGATTTAATACCCTTTTTTACAACTTTAACATAACTTTCTGCCTGGCCATTGCTGGCTGGGTGGTAAACCGGTGTTGTGACATGGGATATTCCGTTACTTTCACAAAATCTATTAAATTCTAATGAACAAAAAGCTGTGCCATTATCGCTTACCAAGGTCTTCGGCACCCCGAACCTCGACATGAAATCGCATATTTTTTCTATAACTGCACTAGAACCTGTTGAGTTGTGCATATTGTACACTTCAACCCATTTTGTGTGAGCGTCTACTACAACCAAGTATGTACAACCGCTTATTGGTCCCAGAAAATCAATGTGTAATCTAATAAATGGATTACATGGTGACTCCCAAAATGCGATTGGAGCACGGGGGGGTGAAGGGCGCAATTGTATACATATTTCACAAGAATTTATTAACCTTTCTAATGCTTGATCAATTCCAGGAAACCAAACCCTTGACCTAGCTTCAGCCTTTGTTTTTACAATACCTAAGTGCGAGGAATGTAGTTCCTTTAAAATTTTGTCATATAAACTCTCAGGTACAACTACTTTGTGTCCTCGCATTATGCAACCATTTTCGTACGACAACTGTGATCTGCAGAGATAAAACGGTTTCAATTGCATATTAGCATTTTTTTGGGGCCAACCATTCATAATGTATTTTGCTACTTGATTCAAAACTATATCACTTTTAGTTTCTTCCCGCAATTTAACTAAAGTAACCGGCGCGCTGTTATCAAACACGAAGCAAACGTAACTCGCCCGATCACACGTTTGCTCCACCTCGCCGTCGCTGCATTGTTCGGTACAAGCGCACTCGATACAGTCAGGCGCAGTAGTTGGTGGGGTGGGCAGGCTTGCGCGAGAGAAAAAATCTGCACTATTATCGGCACTTCTGATATATTCAATGGTGTAGTTATAGCCACTTAGGAACAAGGCATATCTTTGTAACCTATTGGCGGACACTTCCGGAATGCCTTTATATGGTCCAAAAATTGATATGAGTGGCTTATGATCGGTTCTTAGAGTAAACGGTTTGCACCTACCGTACAAATACTGATGAAAGCGCCTCACACCGTAAATAATTGCGGTCGCTTCCTTTTGTATTTGTGCATATCGTTTTTCTGCGACATTTAGTGTTCTAGAAGCAAACGCTATTGGTCTTTCTACTCCGTCTGAATCTACTTGTGAAAGAATTGCACCGAGGCCACTAGGTGAAGCATCTACTGTTAGTATTAACTTAGCGCTTGGTTTATAATGCGCTAGTACTTGTTCGGAAGCTAACAATTCTTTGACTTTTATAAATGCTGAATTATGCTCATCCGTCCAATTCCATTTTGATCCTTTCTTTAATAAGTCGTATAAAGGACTTAGGACGGTAGAAGCATTGGGTACAAAATTCCTATAATAGTTAACCAATCCCAGGAATGATTGTAATTGGTTAATATTCGTAGGGAGTGGTGCTTCCACCATTGCTTTAATTTTTTCTGGGGACTTTTTCAGTCCATCTTTCGTAATGACATAACCCAAATAACTGACTTTATCTTTGAAAAATTCGCATTTTTCACGTTGCAATGTTAGTCCGGCTCCTTGTAACCGTTTTAACACCGCATGGAGCCTTTCCAAATGCTCTGTTCTGTCCTTGCCAGTTACAAGCACATCGTCTAATAGGCATAGGACACCATCCATCCCTGACAAAATACATTCCATTGCGCGCTGGAAAATCGCCGGCGCGCTGGCTAAGCCAAACACTAAGCGGGTGTACTTAAATAGGCCGCGGTGAGTATTTATGCAAGTTAACTTTTGTGATTCTTCGTCAAGAACAAACTGGTTATAGGCCATAGACAAATCGAGCTTAGAAAATTGTTGACCCTCGTGAAGTTTAGAAAATAACTCGTTTACCGTCGGTAAAGGATATTGTTCAACGAGTAACTGTTTGTTCAGACTAACGGAGTAATCGACACACAATCTGACCGTACCATTACGCTTTAGAACTGGTACCACCGGTGATGCGTACTCTGAAAACTCAACGGGTACCAGAATACCTAAATTTACCAATCTGTCAATTTCTTTTCCGACCATGTCCCGTAATGCGAATGCGACGGGCCGTGCCTTAAAAAATACTGGAAACGAGTTATCCTTTATTGACAACTTTATTTTATATTTATTGAACGTTCCCAGTCTATCAGAAAATAAATCTTTATATTGTTCTTTGAAGTTGTTAAGTAGCAAATCCGTTTCCTGACAATAATTTACAGGTGTTAACTGTAATTTAAAAAGCGAAATAAAATCTCTGCCTAAAAGCGGTGGGCCACCGTCCTGGACTACGTAAAAATCTAAATCGCATGTTATTCCAACGTAAGAAACGGGCATCCGAACTGTACCTATACAAATTATATTTTTACCGTTATAAGTCGTCAGTTGTTTACACGTATTCGATAATGGCACATCTATGAAATGAGTTTTGTAGTAACTTTCGGAAATCACAGTCACAGCGGAACCGCTGTCAATTTCAAATTCATATTCTAATTTGTTAATTGTTATGGTTTCCATCATGGGTTCCCCCCTTAAGGAACGGATATAAAAAAGCTTACCATCGTCATCGTCACCATTATCACCGCCGTCGGCGTAAACAAAATTCACTTTTGTGCACATTTTTTTTAAATGACCTTTTTTGTTACACTTTTTACACACATAATTTGCAAATCTGCACTCCGACGTTTTATGGTTCGTATAACCACAGGTAGCACAGTTCACTTTTTCAGAATTAAAACTTTTATATTTTTTCGACATTTTATATAATTCGCTGCCGGACGCTGTGCTGACGCCAGCAGAGGCGGTGTACGAACTGGTCGCGGCTGCAGCGCGAGCGCATCGTAAATTTTCTGCTAACTCCACAGCCTTAGCTAATGGTAATTCCGTTAAATCGTGAGCGTAGATCTTTTCTTTTTCTGGGCCAGGCTGCATCCCCATAATAAATTTATCGCGAAGAGTTTCTTCAATATTTTTGAAGTTACAGTGGGCTGACATTCCACGTAACCTCGCTGCCCATTGTGTGTGTGTCTCTCCAGATTGTTGAACAGCTGCATAGAAGTTATGCCTTTCCGCAAATCCAACACGCTTCGGTGTGAAATGTTCGTCTAGGAGAGACAATATGCCTTCGTATGGTACGTCTTCAATTGCTTTCGGAAGTGCTAAATCTGCTACCAATTTGTAGATACTTTCGGCGAGTGCGCTGAGAAGGATCGCTCTCCTCTTATTGCCCTTTGGATCTTCTTTCGCGTCAATATCGTTTGCAACAAAATATTGTTTAACGCGGCTTTTATAAGTTTGCCAAGTCTGAACACTGTGGTCAAACATCGTCAAAATTCCAAAATGTACTCCGGCCATTTTAATTATTTCCTAACGCGGGTGAATGTAAAAAAAAATCTCGTCGCCAGTGCTATGTAGGCGAGTGAAACGACCGCTTGCTCGTAACGCACTGGTTTATTCGCTGTTTGTTTAAGCGGTGGACGCAGCCACACGATGCATGCATATTTACATATATAACACAATGGCAAGATGCTGTTGTTCCAGACCCTCGGTAAAGCCGAACACATGAAATCCCGCGGAGGGATCGAGGCGTGAAGAGTCTCCAGGATATCCCTATACTCCTGAAGGAGACTGACCCGGACGACGTGCCCACATTCGTGGCGACGGAGTTGCACAAGCTGCCCCCCATCACGATCGACCACGTCGATGGCGTTACAATGTAAGTTAGAGGCTTGGAATAACACCATAAGTGAGCTGCGTGCCGAAGTTGCGTTATTAAGCAACGCTGCTTTGGTATATTGGTCACCAAAAGCCTTTAATGCAAACATGTGTTGTGGGGCGCAAAATGCATCCGTTTGCAGTGTTGAGTCGGCACATTCGAATTCACCGATCGCTGTTGCCACTGCGCGTGATGCACTGCAATCCGCTGCCCACCCCTCCGCCCCGGCGGAAACGTCACGCGTATGCACGTCAACTCCTACACATGCATACGCCACTGTAGCCGCTTCAAATACCTAACCCGCCACTTTGAAACACGAGTGGCGGCAATCTGCTAAGGGAGAAGTAATCCCCGTGTGTCTGTATCTGAAATTGCAAAACCACAGAGGTAGATAGACCGATGCGACGAGGACCGTTTCACAAAAGTGGAGAAGAAGAAGAGGAAGACCACCAACCGTAACCATTGTGGCACAGCACCGACAGGACCGAACTTCCTGCTGCGTCCGGCCACGCCGACGACGCTGCTGTACCTGTCGCGTCTGCATTACTCTACGAAGAAGTTACACTCTGAGGAGATAGTGGAGTACATCATACATAAAGCCAAATATACTTTCAAGCGGTTGGTGTCAAACCAGCGTCTTCCAAAAAACCCTGCTAGACGCTATGTCAACAAGGTCATGGAAAGAACCAACGGACCTTACGAAATTTTCTATGTGCTTGTAGCAGTTCTTTGTTTTTAGTTTTTTAACGACTTTTCTGAGATTAGGTACTGACAGTTGGCGTTACGGCAAAAATTTTTACAAAAACAATTGAATATCATAGTGAAACATTTAACAAAACTTAAAAGTTAAACTGGTTTTTATTGTATAATAAGTATGATAGCCATGACTGGCATGACGTCATGTCGTTTATCACCTATATCACTTCAGTACATTCCCAAAAAATCGATTAAGTTGTTTAAATTTTGATTTTGATCGAAAAATCATATTACAAAATTGAAGACTACGTGTTAGATAAAGATGTATGGAAAGACGACATGGCTCCAGAATCCACACAAATTTGATTCAAAATGTATTCCATAGCATTTAAGTTTATTTGAAAAGAGCAATCCCTAGAGTTTCTTGCTCGTTCTTCTCAGGGAGGTCAGCGTAGTGAACGAGCAGTACCTTAAATGTGACGTTTTCAAGTGTAAATTTATTTTACCTATGGAATAAATCATCTTTGACTTTGACTTTGACTTAAACACTATACTAATAAAATTGTCCATCAGTCCAGATTCTCCTTACGTACTACTTTTGCCAAAGACAAAATAAAAAGTACTAGAATTAAAAACCAATACAGAACCTTAACCCAATATCATCAAACTACCCTTAACAGGGGTTCTATATTAATAATCGTCAATTAGCGGGGTCACAGGCGCTATGACATGTGTTCCTTTGACGCTGCCCGAAGGACGGCGTTTTTGTTTTCTGTTTGTTAATTTACACTATAAACAATCATTTAAAAGACACTTTAGAGGGTGCATCTCTTAATTATGTCAAGGGAATGATTTTGAAAACAAAAATTAATGTGGTGGTTTAGTAAAAAATAGAGCCACGTATAATTGAATGACTTTATAATGAATTCTTTACTATTTTACGTTAAAATGTCGTCTTAAGTATTATATTTCTTTCAATTCTTTTTAATGGTGTTGTTTTTTACTCCTCCAAACATTTATTTGTAAAAGATAACTTTGCAAACATACATTCTGTAGGGCTAGCACGGTAAGGCGCGACTTGCGCATGAGCGACATAGAGATAGAGATAGAGATGCGAGAATAGCAGTATAGGTATCGCGTTTTATGTCGCTCCCACATTTATATGCCGATCGGCTATGGACTGGAATTCCCTGCTTGCAGACTTGTTCCCTGAACGTTATAACTTGGACCTTTTCAAGGCGAGAGTGAATAGGCATTATTTAGGTGTGCATGCTCCATCGTCGACCTCATCGTCACTTTCCATCAGATGAGATGTGGAGGTCAAATGCACACTTACATTTTCATAAAAACAGAAGTAACATTTTACGTACAAATTTTTTTCCCGGTCGAAACCAATTAATGTGACTTTAAAACTCATGACAAAGGTACTGGTGTTAACACGTTCAAAATCCCCCATATAAAGGCCGAAATCAACCCTGTACGTCCACCGGAATTAGTGTTGATTTTGTCTTTTAGTCTCATAGAATAATATCCAAATTACTTAGTTATTTTTGAAAAATTACACCTTTAAAAGACTGCCGCTCATAAGTTTAAATATTTGACATTTAGAAGCAATAGAGCACCTTGTGAAAAAGTCCGTCCAGGGAAGTACTGCCAACTTACCTATTTCTGCCATCAAGCAATAATGTGAGCATTACTGCTTTCCAGTTTTGAAGGGTAAGGGTGCTGGTGAAATTACAGGTACATGCGACTTGTAACTTATGTCTCACGTTACTGCTTGGCGGCAGAAACAGGTAAAGTGGCAGTACTTCCTTGGACGAACTCTTTCACAAGGAGCTCTACTGTTACTAGGATATTGGCTGTATCATGTGTTTTTTACTAACGTACTGACATCGCCATCTTGGCTATCAAGCGTGATATTGATAAACTAATGCGCTTAATAGAAATATTCAGGCAGACGTGGCTTTACGGTTATCTTTGTCAAATCTGCTATTTTGTCAGTGAAAGCTTGCAAACGGTTTCGAGCAGCTAATCCGCGGCACGTACGCTGCACCAATTAATGTCTTCACTGAAACGCTGTAAAACGATTTGAGACTCTTGTCACGCCCAATACATTCGTCAACAAAAGTCATTTTTATACTATACTAAATACGGTAAGTGCATAGATCTATAATAGAGTCCTATCTCAAAAAAAATACCAACCCATCAGGGACATTTTTTTATGATACGAAGTGACACGATGAACAAATCGTGCACTGGTGCTAAGCGACACTCCTGTCTATAACAGTTGCTGTGCCACTCAGAGCTTTAAATCACAAAGATATGAGGAGCACTGCGCCTGTCACCCTGAGACATAAGTTGATAAGTCCCATGCGGCTGTAATGTCACTAGCACACAATATGTAATGGTCACATTACTTGGCTTACTGCTTGACACGGCAGAAATAAGTAAGGTGGCAGTACTTTCCTGGACGAACTCTTTCACATGGAGCTCTACTGCTGTTCATGGATGATGGTGACAAGATGGTTACAAAAATGACGTATATCTACCACGTACAGCTAATAAATTGTATACTGGAGCAATTTTGTCACATGGTTATTTTAATATATCGCACTTGACAACTAACATAGTATTATCTGAAAAATTGCTTTATATTATATTTTGTCTCAAAATTGCGTTATATTAATAATTTATCTCCAAAATTTCGCTATATTTATATGACATTCGCATATGGTTTAATTTCAAAATGACAGAAAAATACTGTCGCTTTGAAATTAAATAGGTAATATTAATATAAATAATAGCAATTTTGAGATAATACTATGTTAGTTGTCATGTGCGATATCATGAATACAACTGTGTAACAAGTCAAAAAATGAACTATCTGGGTTTGGGTCACTATTGTTCAAAAGTTTGTTCTAATACATCTTATTAAAACTATTCTTCAGAAGTGTACTTTCCAAATTACCCACCTCTTTGTAGCAACAGAATGCGTCTCCGCAGATAGTAAAATTGTTCTCAGACGCCGGCGACTCAACTCTTTACGACTAGTACTTGGTATTCGGTACTTGGTAATACCGTTTCTTTGTAACGATAACATTTTCTTCGTAACACTAAAATATCGTAACTTTGTAAACCTTTCGACCGTTCGGAGGCGTGGCTTGTATTGAACACCGCGCTCGTTTATAGCAACTGTCAAACTTCTCCATGGGAAATGTTGCCTTATTTGGTTGGTATAATGTTAAAATTTGGAGTGTTGAACAATGACAATTTGAATTTATTGTGTGGCTGTTGGTTTTAGGAAGTGGGGTAATTTAAAATTAGAATTGGCGCCATTCGTAATTCGAAATTTATTTTCATTAGTTTGTAAGCTTATTTCTGCTGCGAATTCTATGAACTTTAGTAATTTTGCGCTTGTTGAATTCGAGTTTATGTAATATATAAAGCTATGAAACGGAAATTAAAGAACTAACGCGTTCATCATCAAATCCTTATTTACTTATGTATAGTTTGTAAGTTTTTATTATAATCGACATCGTTCTCAACATTTTGATAATTTTTCCACAATATATTCATTTATGACATAAAATATTATTGTTATAATCATGAACGACAGAGAAAAAGAAGTTAGTAGCAGGAGAGCTCATTGTAAGTTCGTCCCGGGCACTACTGCCACATTACTTATTTCTGCCTCGAAGGAGTAACGTCAGCATTACTGTATTCCGGTTATGAAAGGTAAGGGTGCTGGTGACATCACAGGCACATGCGACTTGTAAACTTATGTCTCGCGTTACTGCTTTGCAATAGAAGTAGGTACCTGCACCCTGCAGATGAAATTACTGGCACTTGGGACTTGTCAACTTATGTCTCAAAGCGACAGGCGCAGTGGCAGTATCTTTCAGGTACTCTGTATACGGTAGCATTCCGTCATACTACGTTATTGAACAAACGCAGCGACATA